AATGGTAACTGAATAACGTTTGTATGACTCGTCTGAGTTGTAACTGAATAACGTTTGTATGACTCGTCTGAGTTGTAACTGAATAATATTTCCATGAGATCCATAAATGGTAACTGAATAACGTTTGTATGACTCGTCTGAGTTGTAACTGAATAACGTTTGTATGACTCGTCTGAGTTGTAACTGAATAACATTTTCATGACTCGCCTGAGTGGTAACTGAGAAACGTTACCATGGCTTGCAAACAGTTCCATGACTCGTCTGAGTTGTAACTGAATGACGTTTGTATGACTCGTCGTTGTAACTGAATAACATTTCCATGAGATCCGTAAATGGTAACAGAATAACATTTTCATGACTTGCCTGAGTTGTAACTGAGAAACGTTACCATGGCTTTCAAACAGTTCCATGACTCGTCTGAGTTGTATTTTTGTACACATCGCGTGTTTGCCTAAATAACTTAAGTAACAGAGACACAACCAGAAAGATCTTTGTGGAATTAACAAGTGGTTAGAATACCCGTATTCGGGATCACAGGTTCGGCGGTTCGAATCCTGATAATTCTACAGAAAGCTTTTTGGTTTGTGACGCATACAAAAATGTCTCTGATATAATAACTGACGACGGCCAGAGAATTCACTGGTCGAAACGTTTGGAAAATAATACACATAATAAAGACGAGAATAATAGTCCGAATAATTATACCATCAGTAATACGAACTCCTGATATCAGTCATTCCGCAAAACTGAAAGTAACACTGTAAAGCCCGATTTGTGCGTCTGAGGGTTCGTTGTTCATGTTCAATTGAGCTATAAAAGTGACGGCCAGTCAAGGGTAGCCCAAGAGTTGGCTGCGCGTGCTGTTGACTTGGTGTCTTAATTCAAAATTAAAGACAACTGTGTCCTTGTTTAGTTTTAATCGATATCAAATATGTTATTTTAAAAAAAATTATTTTCTGTGTAAGTTAGTTCTGACTTGGCCCATATTTTTCACAATAATAATTTTAATGTACACGATAGGTGGCGCCGTTAATCAATAGTTGTTGGTCTAAACCAGTGCTTCTCAATCTTTTCCACTATCATTCACCCCTACAAGTTTTCCACAACAGTTCACTCGCCCCAGTTAAAAAGAAAAAGGTAGGAAATGAAAAAGAAAAATTCTTTATTATGTCTTAAATATACATCAAACTACGACTAGAATAAACATAACATAAAACAAATGTGTTTATCAAACTATAACTAGAATAGAAACAACATAAAATAAATGTATTTATCAAACTACAACTAGAATAAACATAACATAAAACAAATGTGTTTATCAA